AGCGAAAAAATGAACATGACCATTGGAAAACGATGGTTCATTTGTCACAGGATCCTCTTTTCGATAAACAAATCGACATGCTCTAATTCAAAATGAGTGTAACGGCTGAATACGGATTGAATTCTCATAATTCATTTATTGTACAATCTTGCAAAAGTATATTTTCTCCAGGCTTTTTGTTTCAATGTACATAACAGTGCTGAATAGAAACATTGGAGAAAAGATGATGATGATGTTTCAGCTTCTATGCAATCTTCGATCGCTGACTAAACACGCACGTTTTCGTGCTACGTGAGAAAATAAAATAGGCGAATAGAATCATTGGGAAATGATTATAGGTCTACCATAAATTCTTTTTTGTGAAAAAAACCACATATGCTTTCATTCGAACTGAACGAAATAAATGACCAGAATCATCGTTATGTTAATTCATGAGTGTTGTGATATTCGATCCGCATACTTATTTATATCGTTTATTTGCATATGTACGAAAATATATAAACAAAACAATTGGTAAGTGAATATTAATATATCATAAGTTCTTTTAGAAACAATATAATGCGCTTACTACAGTTTAAGATGAACGAAATAAATGAATAGGGGTCCCGTAATGAGTATTCAACAGCAATGTAATCATTGATCAACATTGTCAATAAGTAATCTTCATTTCGTAATAAAAAGATAAATGAGTACAACACTTATAAAAATTGTTCATTTGGCGTATGATTTCAGATCAAACTATTAATGCCTCATCTTTCATTCGACGAGTAAAAAACATGTGATCGTAACTGTCGTTTGCATTATTCTATTGTGCCATTATTTGCCATCTATTGCGTATTTTGAAAATCGATAGATCGTTGTGAGTACAATAAAGGAACACGACAGTTTTTAGAGCCATTCATTTTCCATGTTTTCTTGGATTTACGTATCGAATTACAAGCTTTGGTTGAAATTTCAAAGTACAATCAAAACATTAATGAACAGAATCATTGGGAAGATTACAATGATTCGTTCTTCACGCAATCTTCGAGCCGTTGAACAAATTGCCATCTGTGTTTTAGAATGACAAAAAAAATGGATAGATGTCTTTCGAACGTTGTCACTATTCATTAGTTGCGTTATAGAGGATTTGCTCTTATCAGTGCGCACATTTCGGCTGAAAATGTGTGAAATAAGTGAACGAAACTTTCATTAGGAATATTCATTTGATATATGGTGATCAGTCACTTTAAATTCTTCAAAACTTGTTTCCAATTGAAGAAAATATACGAACATAGTAGTCGTTATAGTTATACATTTGTCAAGAGAAATGTAATCGTGTGACTATAGCGAAAGTCTTACTACAGAGTGACTATAGTTGATGAATGGATGATTGGTGCAACTTGCCATTTATAGTATCTCTTTCTCAGGCAATCTTGAATAAGCTGATTGAGTAGCAATTTTTCTTTCAAAGTGAACAATTGAAGTGAATAAAAGTCTTATGAGTGATGTTCCTTTTTCATGAAACCACTGATTAAGTGACCGAGTAGCAACTTTTCTTTCGAAATGACCAAAATATGTCATCAAAGATATGGTAAATCATATTCTTCTTTTACGAAATCTTCAAGCAGAGCACTGAATCACCACCTTTACTGTCAAGTAAATAAACAAGATGTACAGAAGTATCCTATATAAAGCTCTTTTTCAATGTGATCTTCAATCAGTTCACTAGCTCGTAACATATGCTTCGAAACGGCCATACGATGTGAACAGAGGCGTTATTAGTAATGTTATTTTTCCGTGTGATCTTGACTCATTTGGCTGAGTCATAATCTTTGCTTCGAAATTAACAAAAAGGATAAACAGAAATCTGATTGGTGATGTTTCTTATCAATGCAATCTTAATTCATCTGATCTGTTATAAACTTTTGTGTCGAAATAAGTAAAAGAGTGAACACATGTATCCTATATCAAGCCCTTTGTCCATGTGATCTTTGAGAATCTGAGTAAATCGGAACGTTTGATTCGAAGTAAACAAAAGAAGCGAACAGAAGTATCATATTGAATGTTCCTCTTTCATGTAATTATCTGTCACTTGACTAAGCCGTGACCTCTGGTTCGAAGTGAGCAAAAGAGATGAACCGAAGTATCATAATGAATGGTTATATTTTATATGATCATCGGTCATCTAATTGAGTCGCAGCCTTCAGTTTGAACTGAACAAAAGAAGTGCACAAAAACATCATGATAGACATTCCTTGTCTATGTGATTGTCAATAAACTGATCGAATCGCAATTTTTCTGTGAAGGGAGCAAAAGATATGAACAGAAATCTTATAAATAATGTTCTTTTCCCATGTGATCTTTGATCATCTGGTCGGTTTGCAACCTTCCCTTCGAAGTAACTGAAAGAGGTGAACAGTAGCCTACTTAGACATGTTCTTTCTCTATAAGACATTTGATCAGCTGATCCACTTGCAATCTGTGCTTCAAAGTAAGCGAAATATATGAATAAAAGTATGGTAAACAGTGTTCCTTCTTCATATAATCATAGATCAGCTAACTGAGTTGCAAACTTTTCTTCAAGGTAATCAAAAGAGATGAATAGAGATATCTTTATTAATGTTACTTTTCGACGCAATCTGTAATTAACTGATCGAATTGCTATGCTGGATTCTAAATCAGCAAAAGAGATGAACAGAAATATATTTAGTAATGTTTCCTATCCATCTGATCTTCGATCAGCTGACTGCATTGTAATCTTTCATGCAAGGCAAACAAAGCAGATGAACAGAAGTCTTATTAGTGACGTTCATTTATCATGGAATCTTCGATCAGTTGATCAAGACGAAATATTTCCTTCCAAGTGAGCAACAGAAGTGAACAGAAGATTCATAATGTATGTTTCATAGTTATGTGATCGTCGACCAACTAATTTAATCGCAACTTTTGACTTGAAGTGAACAAAATAGATGCATATAAGTTTGATTAGTAATATTCCTTTTCTATGTCGTCTTCAAGTAACTGAGCGGGTCGCAAATCTCAATTCGAAGTAATTTAAAGCGGCGAACAGAAATATCTTGAGTAATCTTCTTTTTCTATATGACCTTCGATCTACTCACCGCATGGCAACCTTTAATACGAAGTGAACAAAAGATAAGAACAGAAGTATAGTAAATAATTATCCTCTTTCATGTGATCTTCGATCAGCTGACAGACTCGACATCTTTGCTTTGAAGTGAGCAATTGAGGTAAACAGAAGTCTAGTGAATTATGTCCCTTTTTCGCGTGCTCTCCGATTAGCTAATCTACTCGAAGCCTTTGGTTTGAACCCAATAAAAGTGGTGAAAAGATGTATAATACATAGTATTTCTTTTCTATATGATCTTCAATGAGCTGATCAAGTTGCTAACTTTGATTTACAGTAAGGAAAAGATGAGAACAAAAGAATGCATGCTTGTGTGACACAATCTTTGAAAGAAGAAAATGGTGAACATTATGCTCGGTCATCCAAAAATCAAAAAACAAATTTTATGGAAACTTTTTTTAGAATGATCCTGTTATGCTTTGAACTTTACCACAAAGTCCTTCATAGCATTCTGTGTCTGTTCATATAATTTTAATTCTTTTTTGAGAAAAACTTCTAGAAAAACCCAGAGGGTGTGGACGTATCTATTCATCCACATCTATCTTCATTACAAAATAAAATACTTTAAATAACATTGTATTCCTTGATACGACTGAGAGCGTAAGTAGTGGCATAGCGTCGAAAACGCACATAAGCGTACAAAAAGATGTGGTCATTTTTTCTCTCATAATTGGGAATTGCTAGTCTAAGCAAAAACCAATCACTTTTCTCTTCTTTGTGCACGTACATGTGTTTGCAGCGGCTGTGACCATCTGAGAAGAACCCACTAACTCACCATCAATCGCTCAAGTTTCAAGAGCAAATTTTGCACAAAATTTCAAATATTTGGAATTCTATTTGACCAATGTAATTGCATCTTATCCAACAATTCTGTCGTGCCAATAACTGTCAAAAATAATCGATGCTTTATCCTCTGCTTATCCGTGTTACATAGTACGTCCATAGTTAATCCATTGCATAATTATAAGAACATTTTCAATTGTCAAATCAATCAACTGTACTTTTACCTTATTTTGCAGCAGACTGCCGTGGCCACTTTCAGAAACATTAAAAAAAAACTTGAGTTTTGAGTTTCGACTTGATATTTTGTATAGAAGCAGGCCTTAACGAGAATAGTATATTGTAAAAGTTTCACATTCTTTTCATGGTTTTTATCCTAAGACATGGCTGTGGTAAAATCATGCTTCTCACGCCACTCATACTCAACGATAAAGTCCAATGTTCTTATTTCAGAAGAGCGCGCTGTCGAAAAATCTAAAACTTTCCCTATATGCTATTCTCGTTAAGATCGGTCTCTGTGCAAAGTTTCATGTCGGAATTTGAAGCCAAATTTCTCCAGTGCTCTTGACGAAACAACACGATTTTGTAGTAAAACATACAATATCTCGACACCAACAAACTGTTAGATCGGACTCTTTTGTTAAGGAATGCATAGCACATTAGAACGTCCATGATGTATATAGTTTTGACTCATAAGAGATTTGACAGTTACAAAATTTCTCTCATTAGATCTATTTCAATGATTTGAAATGTAAATCCAAAATCTTTGTGTTTTTAAAATAGTTTTTTCGTGCTATTTTCTTTTATTATTGCAGAATTTCTAAAAAAAACAAGTCATTCAAATACACCTCACTGCAAGCAAGGAAAGAAACAATCAAATTTTCAATTGTTTTTTTTTTTGCAATAATAAATGCAAGCACACACACAAATGATTCGTTCGAAAAAATGGCAAAAGAAGAAACAAAAAGAAAAAGAGACAAACTTTGAATGACAATCGATTAAAAATTTCTCATTCGGAAGATCTAAGATTTTCAAAAAAACGAAAAAGAAAAAGAAAAAAAAGAACAAAAACAAACCAAAATAAAAATTTTTGTCATTTATTTCGTTCATAAAATAGCACATAAGCATTTGACGATATTATTCGAGATTTGTCACTCAATGAATAAACACTTGAATCATTAAATTCATGCCACTGATTAGTAAATGGATGTTTACATTGCGCAATATAATGACCAGAGTATGCAGAACCACTATGATTTGATATACCAAATAAATTATAAGTTGGAACTGGTCCTAAATAAAATTTCAAAATAAAAAATATTTTATTTCGTATAATATAATACCTTCATAACTTTCAGACATAACATCAGTTAGATCGTCAAGTTTAAGATTATTTATTGGAAAATCTACATGAGTACTTAATTTTGTTCGACCACGAGCTTGCGAAAAACGTTTTAAATGAAGTACAAGAATATCGGGACATTTTTGTATAGAAAACTTCTTTGTACATCGTCGTTTTTGTTTACATCTGGCACACATCTAAATAATTATAATTCAATAAAACAAAAAAAAAAGTTTTTCCTTTTTATTTCTTTTTTGTTTGTTTGTATTACCGGTTTTTCATTTCCATCTAAATCTTCTTTACTCATAAATAATTGAATACATTCTTGTACACTAGTTGATGATTTACTCTAGAAAACAAAAATATAAAGATTATTTTTTTATTTTTCTTTTATATTGTACTCGTGGTAATGGAATCGATAAATCCCAAAACATATCAAATGTTGTTGATTGATATTGACAATGACAACATTCAAGAGTACTTTTCAATTGTCCAGCAAATATATCTAAGAAAATATTATTTGATGAAGACATTTTTCTTTTCAAAAGAATTTAAAAATTCTCACCAGAAATAGAACTATTGTCGTAAAGTAAACAACGTTCCCAACTTAATTTTGCACGATCTCTTTCTCTAGAAAAAGAAAAAACTAATGAATCAAAAAAAAAAGAAAATGAATATATTTTTAATAAAATAAAAAAAAACTAACGATTCAATGCGTTCACTGTCCAAGTTGAAGAGAACGATGTCTTTACGTCACTGTTTCTCGCAACCTGGTAAAAATATTAAGGAAACGATGATTGTCCGAAGCGGAAATTTACCGAATTAATTCTATTAATTTTTTATAGTCTATTGATAATAGTGGCGAAACGAAATTGAGATTTCCAACAAGGGTATGGTTATTCAATATGACGGGCAGCTGTACTCTAGTTCAAGTTTAACTTACAGCTTGAGTCAACCTTCCGCTAAAAGAGCTTTTATGATTTCCTAGGTAATCGAGAATATAAAGAGGAGGTTAAGAGAATCAAATAGGAAGTTGTAATGAACTCTTCTCTTTCCAAATACACACAATTTTTCACAAAAAAAGTTAAATTTTAATAAATTATCAATTATTAGGTAACAAGACAGATGAGTTCCGACAAATGAACTTAACATACAGAATACTATATAAATTTAATTCATTCATACAAACTAGGCTGTTGGTAAAGGAAAAATGCTCATACTCTCGGAACAAATTCCAGAATTTTTTTCGAAAGGAAGTAACGTATTAATATTGGCTTTAATTGGATATCGTCTTGACATTGATAGTTCTCTCAATGATAATACCCTAAGAATACTTTTAGAGACCATCTATAGACTATTACTAAGTTGCAACTTCGATGTATCGAGCGGAAGTTTTAACAAATATTATTAAGTAAGAAATGTGTTGTAAGATGAAAAGAATGGAATATTGAACCTTTGTCTTAAGTCAATAGCCCATAATAAAAAGAGAATTTTTCAATGTTTGTTTTTTTTTCTATTCTCGATTTATAAGAATATTAGAATCTATTTTTGAGACATTCAAGTTTTCAATGTCATTAACGAGAACATTTAAAATTAACAATTTTTGTTTTCTGTTTCTTCGTTTTAATTCTTAATGAAATATAGTTTAGCCAGTATTACGATAACTCAAACAAAGAAGAACTTGTCTCAATTTGTTAAAATTATCAAATCGAAAAATATTTCATCAAATTCAATTGTATTTCTCATGTTCAATCAATTATGATTCTTTACAAGAGTTATTTTTTTGAATGAATTCCTTTAACATAGACCTATATTAAAATGTTGACTTTTTTTAGCTAACTGTTCCTTAAAGAGTAATTACCAAATATCTCTCTAATCGTATGAGAAAAAATTCTCAAAACTTCAAAATGGATTCCGGGACACAGATTACATCTATGATGAAATTTTCAGCAATATCAGACTTCAAAACTGATTTTCTAGAGATTCTAATTTTGAACTTTTCATTCAGTTATAAGAACTTTGTTTTTAATGCCGAGATATATGTGTTTTAATTTTGTAAAGACATGTGGCTAATGAATAATTTTACCCATCTATTTTTTCAGCAGTAAACAAGGCATTTTAGTGCCTCGACAACTTTTCGAAAATTAATAACAATAATTTTTGCCCGACAAGTCAGACTCATCTCTAATTATAAGTCACAATTAATCTTACTTCATTTTTTCTTCTGCTTTTTCATCAATTTTAATTGGTGATGGTTTTCGTTGTACACGATTAACATCTTCATGAAGTCCTTGTAAAAGATATCTTAAAAATTCTTGAGAATCTTGTTGTCTAACAAAAAAATAAAAATAAACAATCGATGAAATGTTTTTTTGTTTTATGAAGTCATAATTTTAACATACGCATAACCAAGAAAACGTGGTGCAAATCGTCCGATTGTATTTTTAAATGAAGAAGGACTTACAATAGAGTGACCATCAGATGAAGTCCACATTTTTCGAATTAAATTTGCATATTCTATATTTTAGAATTTTTATATCGAAAAAAAAACGAGAGAAACGCTTTTATTTACCTCTCATTAAAACACCTTTCATCACACTTGTTGATGATGTATTTAAATAGTCAGAAAGATTATCTTTGAAACAAAATAATAAAAGTGGCTTTGTATTCGATAAACATTGAAGTACTGAATTCATAAAACACTTTTGAAAAAAAAATGATATTATTAGTAAAATTAATATTTCATTTAAAAAAAAAAGAAAAGAAAAAACAAAGACACTTACAGTATTGCCAAGATTTTGCAAACCAGTTAAACCACCTTGTTTTAATCTTGATTCAAGTGGTGATGGTGAGTGACTATTTTGTCGATCAATTGAAGAAGCTTTTGCATTCGTTGATTCTTCATTTGTATTCGTAGTTGATGTCAAATTCAAGCCATTCGATTCATGTCGATCTGGATGATCATTCGATGATTCATTAACTGCCCCATTTGTATAATGTTGATTTGTACTAACAGTCTAAATGAAATGAAAATGATTAAACATTTTTTTAGCACAAAAATATTTCAGCTATAGATTAAGGGAATCCTTCGGCTTTTTTTACTACTAGTCCTCAACCTAACAGACGAGCACATGTATGTAAAGCAAAATATTCAAATATGGCTTTAAGAGGAAATCTGGATTTTTCGCTGAGTCGTACATTGATACATTACGAAACTTCTAACTTAGTCTGATCGAGCTCAAATCTTTTACTTCACATGTTTGAAAGTATTCTCTAGAGGTACAACAGAATTCTAAAAGCCAAATGTGTGATTGTAGCTTCGAACCTTTACGTATCTTTCTCATAAAGAAAACCGAAAGTAAGATTTTCAATAAAGATCATAATTACCTTCGAGAAATAGTCTTAAAACCAAAAATGGACATAAAAGACGGAAGGGATCTTTATGTTCGTTCTCTAATAAGAAATCACTTTTCACGAGCAAAATCGAAATTGAACTGATGGCTCGAAATCTTATCTTTCATGAACGACATGGTTTTTTTTGTTCCATACTACTTAAAATATATGGAGTTTTCCACAAAAACTGGAAGATCTTGTTTTCAAATAAGCTTGCCATCTTTTTTCTTCGTATAAAAATTAGGAATTTTGACCAAAGAGGGCACTGCAGTCTGACATACTCTTTTAAATAGAAAAACTAAATTTATAAAATGATTACTAAATGAGCTATCTTTTATCCTTGTTTATTGAAAATCTTCCGAAAACATCATTATATAGGACTAAAAATTTTAACAACATATCCTGAAAATTTCATATGATATAAATATATGTGGCGTAAGATCAATGTTTTTAATGGTTAGATTTGTATTTTTTCCTCTCGTGTTTTGTATCTTCTTTTTGACTTACAGATTGATCTTGACTAGATAATCTCGATCTTGTCGTATCAGTTGACACTCTTCGTTGACTTAATGATGCTGTTGCTGGAATGTATCGTGTCGAAATATTTGTTCTATCTGTCGATCTTTGTCTGACTCCAGTCAGTGGTCTCGATGTAGCAGTATTGATTGTTACATTCATACTGCCCGATTGAATTGATCTTGTTATTGATGAAACACCTGGAGTAGTATTAATTAGTGGCATTGGACGTGTCATAGATGATGTTCGAGTATTTGTACTCGAACGTCCGGCTGACATTGACACAGTTTTAGTTGATGTTCATTTGCCACTTTTAAATTCAGTACTTTTTTCTTATCTAGAAGAAGAAATTTTTTTTTCTTGTTGTTTTTGAAGAAAAAAAAACTAATAATAATAATTGAACTTCTTGTTCTTATATTTTTATTCTTTTTCGTTTTCAAAACTGATGCAATACATTAAAATCATCTAAATATTATCGATTGATATTGTATTGCTTGTTTTAAAAATAAGTATGTGGACGGCGTGTTGTAAAACGTGGATGATGTAAACGTTTTGTTGCCTTATTAACCATTGGAAATCTAAAACAAAAATTGTTTGTTGTTATTTATTTATTGTTTTTTATTTTGTCTTACTTGATTTTTGAATCATGAAATTGTGTAACATGTGGTCGACGACATTCTTTAGCTGGTAAACGTTTTATTTTCATAATTTGAATTGTTGATGGTCGTGCACGATGTTTAGCACCCATATCACGATAACATTGTGTAACAGCTAATGCTCGTGTTAAATCTCGATATTCACGATACATATTATGTGTACCAGAACGTGAATCATAACGAAGCCAAATACCAAAATTTTTAACTGTTAATGGTTTACGTTCATTAACCATTTTACATTCAACTATTTCACCAGCACTTTTTTTAACACGTTTAAGTTGACGTAAAAAAAACCAAAAACGAGATTTAGCTTGAACTTCATCTGGTGCATATATATGCATTTCATAAAGTGGTGGTTTCTTTAAGGTTGTTGATGGAAGTTTACGACCGATTATACGATATTCACGAAGATTACCTTTAGCTTTCATGATGAAGTTTCTTTTATTGTCGAGACTGAGAACAAAAATTTATCTAAAAACCAAAAGGAATTCAAATTAAATTGATCAAGAAACATAAGCAAATAAAAGTCGAAGAAACAATATAATCATTGAAGATTTCATGGGAATACATGGAAAGAATAATGATTGGTTAATGTTTGTTAATCATTGGAGAGGATTTATAAGGAGGCTAAAAAGCGTAACAACCAATATGGCCAACAAAGTTATAAATATATTTGTTAAATGAAAACCAATAAATAGAATTTTTCTAATAAAAAAAAATAAAATAAAAGTAAATTTTTGTAACATGTTATAAGTATCAAAGTAATTGTGCAAAGCTCAAGAAATCTTTTTCCTGAGAGAAGTTTTTGGAGAATACTTCGAGGAAAATATTAAAATGATAAAAAAATTAAAAGTTTAAACAATATTTTTTTCGTTTCGTTAAATGTTTATAGCATTCTGCATTGAGAAAAAGAGTCATACTTCCAAGCATGATTTTAAAGTTTCTATTGTTAATTTATTTTGTTTGATTCATGGTTTATAGAATAATCGAAAGACTTTTATACAATAAAAATCTCTATTTTAATTTAGAATTTATAAAGATTAAAAAAAAAAAAGTAATTTGAGCAAAGAAGAACTTTGTTGAAATAATATTATTTTGATAAAAATAGTTAAGCTTGCCGTCAGCATATTTCATTAATACAGATAATTTCTTTTACAAACGGTAAAAGCCAATAAAAAATAATCGTGTCAATTACTTGAATCAATCTAGTTTTGTAGGACCTGTTACAAATCTAAAATAGATAGATTTTGATGACTATAACTTAAATTATCATCGATTCGAAAGAGCTAAATTTTTTCTGCAAATATATATTCAAAGTATAAGAATAGAAATAGTCTAATTTAGTAAGAATAAAATTGCGAATCTAAGCAAAAGTATCATGAACATTATAATTTTTTTTCTGTTTGCCAATATATTTTTCTTATTGTTGTTTTGTGACATGGCTCAACATCGTACCATAGTTTAATGGTTCGGCATAGTGTAGACTACAGTCCTTCAGATCAACAATGTTCGGATTCCATCGAATCGTACTTTGATACTTAGAATGAAATTTTCTAACCTTGCACATAATAAAGACTTCTGATTTTTGTTAGTTGCAAGGCGTAAGACTCAAGTAAAGACGAAAAATCAGACTTCTGTCGAATTCAACAAGTTCCATTTTAATCGATTTTTTTTCTTTACGATCCGGAAGTAATATTGGTCTCGACCAGATCGGACCAACCTTTTGAAGGACTTTCATGTATATATATTTACTCGATTATGAACTTGAAATTTTCAAACAATACAAGTGCCTTCTTCGTTGGAATTTACAATAAATTCTGATATTATCACGAAAAATTAGATTATTCAAGAATAAATTTATTCTTCACCTGTATATGAAAATCAACAATGTGCAAATTTCCAAAAAAGAAAATTTTCGATATCACTAAGATATGAGAAAGTGATTTCTACGAAACTTTGTTAATTATGAATTCAATTTTAACATCAACATGGATAAATATATTTATTAGTATATAAATTAATATAGAAGCTCATTCACAAAAAAGCTTCAGGAAATTCCAGTAGTTACGGAACTTTCTCTAGGATTCATATAGATAAATAAAGTTATAAATTCATAGAACTATAGAAGCATATTCACAAACCTATAAGAATTTTCAAAGTATTGTATAAATCTAAGATTCAGACTGTATATTCTAAGTAGTATGAATATCGTGGGTTTTGGTATTCAATGCTTTGAAAAGATCTCTCATTGTAGCAATTTGAACTTGAGGCAAAACTTAATAGCATATGTGAAAGTTTATCGAGAGAAAAAGCCGTATGTTCGAAAGCTGACTGATCAATTGAAGCCATTTATGCAGCAGGCTTTAAGGATGGTTCAACCGACGACTCGAAGAGTAAAATGGCATTTGCTGCTTCCTATGACATTTATCGTATATATTATCACTGGGAGAAAAGAAGTTATGTATTGAAGATGTATCTGACAATACAAATAAGTTTTTTTTAATATAGTGATATTAAGTGAATCTCATAAATTGGAAGAATAGTAATTTTAAATCCAAACATTTTTAAAATGATGAATTTGTAGAATGCACGTATCAACTATAAAAATTGTTATAATTTTGATTTAATATCATTAATTTATAATAGTTAGAGTTTGTGAGTTCCCCAACACACCTCGGACGTTAAAATGATGATTGTGTGAGTAAGTCACTATTTTTTTGTTAACGAAAAGGAATAACCAAAATAAAAAAAATCCACCATTGAATAGTCTGTGAAAGTTTAGCAAGGAACCTTGAACATATGGTTAAAATTCGCTGTGACTATGGAGTGAAATAAACTGAGATTTCTTTTTGGTAATGCACTCACGTCAGAATTTATCAAGTTAGGTATGGGTATAGTAGCTGCAGAAAGAAAAGTAATCACTCACACTAAAAATATATGAACTTCTTTTACTTGACATAGTACATAGTATTATAACCACAAATTTCGGTAGGACCAACCCAATTTTCAGAGGATGCCACTCCTTCGATTCCTACATTAGATAAAATACTAGACATAAACAAGATTATTGAATAATTCATTCGAATAGATTTTAATTCTAAAAGTTTTTCATATGAATATTTATTTTTCTTGTTGATAAATTTTTCTAAATAATTTACTATAAATCAATATAGTTCATTTTATGTGAAAAATACTGATTATCTATGTTCTAATAACCGATCAAAAATCAATGTTTAATCATAGTTCTTATGCTTGAATATTTTTTTTCATAGTACGTATGCAAACATTTCTTCATTCTATTGACAATTATCGAGTATTACTCGTCGCAGACTGTAAAAGGTTTGTCCACTATGAAAACAAGGCTAAGTAAGAAGCATAAGTGTCAACAATGTGAGGAAGAATGAAATTTCTTTCAATGAAATATATTTACAGTTCTTTTGACACCTTGCGTTAGATGAAACGAATTAATAAATGCATTAAAAACAAAGAACATCGACATCATACTGTACATCCTACGGCATTCATATGACTTATACTTTTTTTCTTTGCCTGCAGAAAAAAATTTCATGCCGCGATCATCGAACAAATTTTTTTTTTCATAAATGCTTGCTACTCTATACACATTGAAATATGTTTGCATACATGTAATGTCAATCGACAAAAATGCTTGATCTTTTTATGCAATTTTCTGATTTTTCAATATATGCCAGGCATATTCTATCTTGTTGAGATAGAAAAAAAAAGTGACAGTTATTTCCATGGCATGAATCCTTCTTTGCTATTACTATATCAATAATTAGTCCATCCATAGAAAACGAATTCCTCTAGTCGATAATGATCCATTTTAATTTGATTTTACCATTTATCGATCTCTGTCTAAACGAAATCAACGTCCGATGAATGAGTCTTGTTAGAACTTAGTTAGTTTTTCAAATACCAGGATATTCTTCTACCGATGTTTTCATGGTCGGTCAACAACTTCAAGTATGAATGTGAAATGTAGCTTTCAATCAAGTTCGATATATACAACATTAAAAAAGCGCGTCTTATTCCAGTGATTTAGAAATCTTCTAATGAACGTTTTCCTTCAGACGTACTATACACTCTTTATCTCATTCTAATTGCAAAAAGCACGATCATATATTTTCTTGAACATTTTTTTAGCTCGAATCATGATTATAGATTAAAAATTTGTAAGAGACATTGAATTGATTTTCTATAAAGTGACATATTGATTCGAATTTTCTCAACACACATTAACTTTTATTTCGATTAATGAATATAAAATAAAAGATATTAAAACAGCTACATATTGAGTCGACACTCAATCCAAATTATAGCAGAATACGACATCAATAAAAAAAAAAAATTATTTCTTTCTCTGTCTCTCTCTCTCTCTATTATTCTATAACTTTGAAGAAAAAAGAAACTAGAGATTGAGTCTATTTCCAAATAAGAACAATTAGTGGAATAGCCAGAGCAATGGAGACAATAAAATTTATTAGAATCAAGATTAATATCCGATTATGCCAATGTGCGGTATCTCTATCATCATCTTCGGTATTGACACTTGGTGGTCCATTAAGATCATATAATTCAGCTCCATTTCTCTTCTCCATTCCACTAGAAGATGATTTTCCAATACCAAACCGAATGATTTCTAAAATAATGACAATTATAACAACCCAGGCAGACCAAAGTGAAAGAATAACGATCATGCCAGTTCGATTTGCATCAAAAGTTGTTATGATAATAAAGATTGTTGGTATCGAAAGAAAATAAGCCAATACTCCTGTTAATCGATGAAGCCAATTGTAAATGAAACGATACGAACCGTCTGGATGACAACGAAAGAGTGCCATCCATGCTTGTATAAGTGCACAACAGACAACAATACCACCCATAACAGAATGGACAAATACACGACCTTCATCGGTCCCTATCCATGTGCCTTTTGCTTGTACCAAAATAAAGAAAAACCCAAGTAGAGTCAATACTGTTGTCAAACAAGCCATGAAACGATGAATTTGAAACCAAATTTTTTCACCTAATAACTTGTCGTTGGAACCAAAGTGTACCTTACGACCATAACGTGCAAATAGAATAGCACTTGATGCAAATACCATCCATGCAAGAACCATTACAGTTCCATGAGCATACTCAAATCTGGAATCTTCTTCACCTTCCACCTCTTCTTCTCTGAAGGTTGCCATTTTCAGTATAAATAAGGCTCTCTGCCAATTTCAATGCTCGTTGCAGTCTTTTGATATGTAAATAACTTTTACAGTTTATATACAGCTGTACCCGTATGAAGCGCAAACATAATGCGAGGTAAAAAAAATGCACTTTTTTTCTTTTCTGTCATGTATCGGTGTACAGTAGTTTGTTATGTTTGCAAAGAAAAATAGATGATTCAATCTACAAAACAAAAAAACAAAAAAAAGGCATGACTTGGCAAGATGTATTATTTTATATCGATAAATAATGTATTCAGACATGTACCCATTGAAGAAAACATTAGCTGATCAAAGAAAATTATATGAAGGTATTTCTCTTTGCAATGGATTGCAAAGCTTATCAACTTTATTCTTGACACGATTAAAACTATTGAACTTTTGTAAATTTAAAACTCGAGAACAAAAAGAAAATCTATGGAAATATCTTTTTTCACATGAATAAATAAATGAAGTTTGGAATTTCTTGTAGAAATTTTTTAAGTTATACAAAAACAAACCAATACTATGGTGAAAAGAATGTATCGATTGATATTTTTGATTTAGCATTTGTTTGTCTTCTATTGTGCAAATGTTTCTCTTTCGTTGATTGAAAACAAGAAAAGAACGGAAGAAATTTTAATGTTCTGTATAAAATTGACTGTATTTATTTTTCTTTATATTTTTGAAATATATTAAGAAAAAAAAATCGATCGCATGCTAATAAAATTATATCTCTACTATTATTTCTATTTGTATTTTAATTGAATATACAAAACCCGTAGACCATGTAAATGTCTCTCATATGGTTTTTCATTGAAATACATAAAGTTAAAAAAATGTACTGACCCATTTTCACAAATAAAACATGTCATTCACTTTTTTTTGCAAGTTACAATGCATCATTCAATGTGACCAACAAGAAAAAATACAAGCAAAACTGACACCCCCACACACGAAAAAACAACTATATCGTCAAAATATTTTTTTTTTCTTCCCCGTACACCATTCGAAAAAGAATGTATGTAGGCATTTAATATACCTAACGATTGAATTATAATAATAAATAACATTTACATGATTACTATCGAGAGTGTTTTTTTTTATTGATATTCATCATGTGATAAATCAAATGTACTATATAAGTTTTGTATGTAGAAAAGATAAGTAAACATCTATAAAATGAACTACTGGTGAGATAATAATCTGATTGGTCGTTGAAAAAGAAAGACAAATGATAGTTATATTATAACAAATACAGTACTTATTAAAATCTTTTTTTTCTCGTATTTCAACATGAAAATAATAGATATTAACGATAAAAACTTAAGTTGTATAGAAAAATGAATTTTATTTTATTTTAATATTCTTATTGCTCTTCAGTTTTTATTTATAACTTTCTTATGTTACATATTTTGTTTCAACTCTTTAATTTGTATTGCTTATTCAACAGAAATGTACGCAAAGTATTTTTCACTGTTACATACAAAATAATGTATGTAATAACTTATGATATTGTTTTCTTTTTTTAAATCAAAGCCAATAAGATAAATCTTTTTTTACAGTACGGTCTCTATCGAACACAAAATTATTAACTCAAACAGAAGGTATAAATTGAAAGTAATATCTTGTAAGACTCAATGCAGATATTAAACTTAAATAATAAGATTTAGTTTTGTCTCAAAAACTATACTCGTATGATTCAACGAATTATTCTACACTTACCAGGGAACAAACTCAAATGTTGCACGTTGTTGGATAACATATTATGACTACAAGGGATCATTGGGAGATTAAATAGAAACTTAATCATTCTGGCTCTCTATTCAGAACAGAATCTTTATGTTATGACATGCTATTCGATTGAATTAGTATGCACATAATACGGGGTATCCTATTATGTATTCAGAAGGAAAATCAGCTTCGTATCTCATTCTCTATTGTAATTATAACAATTTTTTTCTATATATGATACCCATTTTTCGGGGTCTTCTTGGATCTTCGACGGCATTCGTTCACTACGATGACAAAGGTTTATTCATTGTTTTATTTTACAGAAGACACTTGAGACTATTGATTCTCTTTTTCCTTTAGTCTTGAGACTTACAACGCTGGGCAAAAGTCTATTCTCTCTCAATCCTTAAACTTTTTTCGTTGTCGACTCGAAGTTTCTCTGATAATATGATATAACTATTCATAGCACGAATATGTGTAATGAAATGAAAGAGACTAACTGACTTGCGATGAATGAACCTTGTGTTATATCGACTAACCAAAGAATCAAAATAATCCTAGCGAACGACAGGTAAATCTTTAGACCGTAATATTTTGGATTCATCTATAGTTGATAAGGTCTGAAATTCCTAGGGGATCAAATCCAAAATCCGTTGACCCTATGCTTTCGCTAACGCTGTTTTTTTCATGGAACATCTCTTAATCTCTATTGAGTGTCTCCAATTTGTTCTCATGCTACTAAGTTTTTCCTATAAATTTTATTACTTTTCCTTAGTCGTTCCTTTTTTTATTAAAAATAGTTCAAATAATGTATCACTATAGTTCTTCAATAAATGATATAAAAGAACAGAAGAATGTATTTCAATTAGGTTACAATGCTTTGTCATCAATTGAACAAACGAATGATCCAACAAATCGATTATTTATTTATTTATCCGATTAATTATGACAACAGTGACTTAGTTCCATGAGTTCAGGGCTCTTGAAGAACTGCTGAACTCACAGAACTCGGTCACGTCTCAATTATGAATGCAATATATAAGAAATTTTTTGCTTTAAAAAGTATTCTTTTGAATTACAGTTTATTTTTTAAAATAGTCATTAGCAGCTTTACCCATTGATCATGCTTCAACTCGACTTATTGCTACTGATGAATGTCAACAAAAATTCGTCATCATATCTGCTATATATACATTACGAACGAATCATTCATCATCGACTTGAGATGCTTTTCAAATGAATAAATCATCAGTGTATTTTGTTCATTAGAACACAGAAAAAAAACAAAAGAGATTGATTCAGTTTATTATTGTTATTACTTTTCTTTTTCTTTTGTCATATTAAACGCTAGAAAAAAACGTACTTGTAGCTAATTTTTGTCTGGCATATATTGTGCACACATTTAATTAACAAATAAAACAAATTCTCTTATCAGATGTGTAGAAATACTAATTAACAAAATCATCAACTTGATCAGTTTCACCGGTTGTTACTGTTGTTGTTGGTCACGGTGGTGGTGAAGGAAAAGCAGAAATAGCTGATTGTTTATTTTTTCTCTTCGGACCAAATGGAGGGTTATATGAGTGTGAATTAGAGACCTGCGAAGTCGTCATTTTAACTTCGATTCCGACCCCTACTCGGAAAATTTGTTTCGTGTAAATTAGCAATAGCTTACGTGTATGACAGCATTATGGAATATGAAATATAGATATTTTGAATATCAGAGTAGAAATTAAATCTGATTGATTTCAAAACTTTTATGAATCAAAAATACTTGAAATGAGTGCTTAACAAAGAAGATGATTCTGTAAAATTAGTCCTAAATAATAAAGTCAAATAAAAGTGACTTTTAGGATACTTTTCTGAAAGCTTTCATCAAGAAAGACATCCTAGAAAAGCATAGTTGTTTTGAAAGAACATCTTCAGATCACGAAAGCACAAACAATAATATTCAGTTTTGATCCAATTCAAATTATGTCAAAACATTTAATTGAAATAATCATTGAAAAAGTGCGTGAAGACGATGAAAACACATTTAATGACGAATGTGGAAACATTTAGAAGTACTGATATTTTCTTTACGATAGCCACTTTCGAAGGTTAATCAAGTGTAGCTATTTTCTGTTTCTTTTGTCTATTTTCTTATTGATGTTGTTTAATGTGAGTGTAGATATTTTGTCTACCCACATATTCTCAAGCTTTTTTTCTGATAGTATTAAGTTATCACTAGTAAATGATCAACACAATTGACTATCCATTTGATAGCTATCTGTCTATGTATAGAAAAAATAAATTTCGTGAGCTCATAAGTCAATGACGTTCAGTGTACAGTATTTAACACTTTTCATAGAATTATTTTAATAGTTTTTCTATTGGAACTCCAGTCACATGTTGTCAATGAGATACATAATAATTGTATTTTTATTAATATCATCATCAAAAAATACAAGTAACAACTAAGGAAAATATTGATAGGCCTCTTTCGACAAAACTTTCGACTGTTAAAAAATGAATCGTTTTACTTTCGAACAATTGCGTCGTGTTGCATCTCTTATAACGTTCATTGTTACAATTTTCAATTGTTCTTATTTGACTTTTAACTCAGTTAGACAAAGTAAATTTACTTTTGTTTCATGTAAAAATTGTTCAACATAATCTATATTTACATACGTGATATCAAGTGATGTAAGATGAGAATATTCAATAACTAAAAGACACCGCGGGATTTCATCGGAAATCTGCCACCTCTCAGTTTTCATTTTCAATATGATAGAAAGATAGGACTTGAAATTTTACACCTTTCTGTTTATTTAGTTTTATTTTTTCTTGATTAGAAAAAAATTTTTCCAAGACCACTTTGTCTAGGGGGTCTATGGGTCTTTCGCAGATTTTTAATGTTTCGGCTGATAACTGTAATGTCTATAATTTTTTTTTCTATTTTAATCTCAATGTCAAAACTAATGACATAGATCGATGCAGTTTTTCACGCTCTACAAAACTATGCAGTTTCTAAAAAAAATTATTCTGTTCTAAGACTGGTTTTCATTGGCACGTTGTAATACTATAACCATTTTGGGGGTAATTTTTGACCATTTTCATA